AGAGAAGAGAAGAGAAGAGAAGAGAAGAGAAGAGAAGAGAAGAGAAGAGGAGAGAAGAGGAGAGAAGAGGAGAGAAGAGGAGAAGGGCCATCTCCCACCCTAGGGTGACAGGTGCAAAGACAAAGGCAGAGGGGCAGAGAGAGATCTCCAGGAAAACTGAAGTGTAGGAAGTGGGGAGGAGAGTCTCACAGGCCCAGGAGAGGGAGATGAAGACCCAGGAGGGAGAAAAGGAATAAAAAGAAGGTTAATAGGGGCCAAAACCGAGCCGGAGGGAGTGGACCGTATTGAGAAGCAAGAGGGGTCTTGCCAAATAGGGGGGCGGCTGAGGACGAGGCGAGGAATTGAGGAATGGAGAGCCGGCCAAGTAGGTGGATGGTGGGAGAACGTAAGCCAGGAATTCACATTTCCCAGGCTCTGAATTAGGGACAGCCTGAGGGAGGAAAGTGAGCTGTGGATTTTTCTGGAATCCAGCTCTCTCTCGTTGAACCCCAAACTTATCCCTTTATCATTAGCGGGAGAAGACAGTCGGCGAAACAAACTGACCCCCTGCACCAAGGCTGCTCAAGGAAAGGCCTTAGAAAGTTTAGTCCTCTTGGAAGCCACTGGGTTTCAGAAGCTCCCTTTGATGTGGTGTCCACATTCAGCACAATTCTGGTTTGTTTCTTTGCGCTTTTTAGGGTTGTGTGTGTGCGTGTGCGCGTGTGTGTATAGGGTTGCTCTTTCTTGACGGATGAATGGAGCAGGTGCTACACATTGTACTTCTCTGAAAACTTTGGGCTTTCAAAAGGCCCATGGAAGGTTGTTAGCGGCCAGGAGCGCTTGTGGAAATGGGGGAAGCAGTCCCTGGTGAATACACTTCAAGGGACAGGATTTCACATGGCAGGAATGCCTTCTGATAATGATGGAAGAATCGATACCATGGCTGTAATGAGCTGCAGAGGAGACCCTTTTCACAGGCCACCTCCTTCCTGGGACCCATGCTGAGCAGGTTTTGAAAGACCACTCATAATTACCTACCTGCATGTGATGCAGGGTTCCAGCCTGCCCTGTGTCCCCGAGGCCCAGCCCGAAGGTTGTTGCACACTTAGGTGGGGGATGTGCCTGTCATCCCGGCAGTGGATGGTGGTGGCCAGCTGGGCCCTGGCACGTGGGCCTGCACGGGTTTGGTCTGCCCTTCCCAGTGAAGACCGGGCGTGATTTGGAGGGGGATAGATGCATATGGTCCCTGATGGTAACGGTGGTCTACGTGCTTGCTCCTGGTTCTGGCTAGATTCGTTTTCCTGAGCTAGGAAGTCTACTTCCTGGGCTAGGGAGGGCAAGGAAGGGGGGGAGCACCCAGACTCCATCCTCTGGGGCACACCAAGTTCCCAGCCCAACCCCACCCACCCCAGCAGCTCCCTTCACCCACCCCTGGGTTCCTGAGTCTTCCCGAGGACTGAAGGAAGGAGTCTGGGCTGGACGTTGAGCTCAGCCGGAGCTTGAGGCCAGCACCTCCGTCCGGGTCCTGGGAGATGGTGGTAGGCTTCCACTTTCTTGAAGGTCTTCAAGAAAACCCGAGTTCTGAGGCAGCTGTGTGGACCACAGAGCCTGAATCAGCTGCCTATACCGCCCACTCCCCGGTCCTGGTTCCGCCACCGGGAGGAACGTGGACACAGGCTTCTCCCCACGTGGCACATCCCTCCAAACGTCAGCTCCTCATGCCAACGCTGTCCTTGGACTGCGACTGGCATTCCATCCTGGGTGCACCGAGGTACTGGGGGGCTGGCCCTGTGAACCTGCTGGTGTACTTCCGTCCCCATGACTCCCTTCGGGGGGTCTGGGATTGGCCACCAGGAAGTTCTCATGTGGGAGAGGGTGCTGTTCGCAAGCCGTGTTTGGTCATTTCTGCCGCGTGGTCAGCTGCAAGGGGCGTCGAGCGGCTGAGCCCAGGGAGCACGGACAGCCGCAGCCCTGAGTGCCACCCACCCTCTCTTCCCGGTCCGCACGGAGGCCGTAGGCCAGCACTGGCACTCAGGGCTGCCCCATCCACGGTGACAGCTCACCGCCTTCTCCATCAGCCTGCCCTAACTTTCTGTTGTGCGGGCGTGCCACACCATAGAAACCCAGCAGAACTCAGAGGTGGAAAGATTAAGGCAGAAAAAAGGAAGACACCTTTGGATTCAGACCATGGGTTGAACGTCAACACTTCTTTGAAACTGCAACGTTTGAGTGTGGTTGAGTGTGTCCAGGGCTGGGTGGTACGTAATTTAAAAAATTAGCATTAATCGAGCATTCAGCAATTCACCGAGCCCTCCCCGACCCCGTAAGTAGACTTCCTAGCTCAGGAGTATAGCCCTTTGGCCGTGTTTTGGGTTTATTTCCCTCTCCCTGTGTGGGGTATAAGCAAGACGGTGTCCGTTCTTTGGAAACTGACCTTCCGCATTCTTTGCCTGCCGGAGCCCACAGGTCAGACACATGGGACACGGGACGCTGGCCGTTGGCCCACTGACCGCAGCGTCTCAAATGCTCTTAGTCTGGCAGAGCTGTTGTGCCAACGCGTGAACCCTCGTGATAAATGTGTTGCATCTGGACCCCCTGGGAAAAGGGTGCCCTTTGCGGAGTGCCAGCCGAGAAGGCCCTGGCAACAGCCTGGTGGTCAGGAAGTCTCATCATCCCGAGTGGGGTAAAGGGGTGTCTTTCTCCTTGGGGGGGTGTCTCTTGCTGGCCCAGCACATAGCAGTGTTCAGGCTACAAGAATGCGCTCAGACATACGACTTAGGGACCTCTGATTTCTTCCCCTCCCTCCCCCGTTCTCCGGCTCCCTTGGGTTCCGGGCGGAGCACCTGCTAAGGGCTCTCCCTCTGCTGATGCTGGCTGTGCCCCAGCCACCCTGCTGTAGCTGTGGTGCTCACAGGTTCCTAGAAGGCCCTCAAGCCGAGCTACGTGCCAGGGGACAGCTCCGGGAGCACTCAGACGCGAGGCGTTCCTTCTCCGTCTCCTGCCTCCCCGGATTCCAGGTGCAGGCACTGGTAGGCGAGCACCCAAACCGATGCCCTCTTTGAAAGACAAGAGACGCTTCCAGCATCAGATGGGCACTTCTTACCATCCTTTTGGCCTTTCTAATTTGATTTCTCGCATCTCAGAAACCAGATGTCACTTATAAGCATCCTTTGCTCGAGTGTGTGAAATGTGGCGCCCCAGTGAGCGGTCTACACCCTGGACTTACATGTCCAGCGGAGTGTTAGTGGCTCCTGAAAAACAACTAGCCGAGCTTTAAAGGGAAAGGGGTACCTGACAGTCCAAACGTGGCTGGGGATTTCACCTGCCACTCCATCTCATCCTTCTTGATCTCGAACACCACATTGGCATCCTGGAAGAACTCGTTCATGAGCAGCTCAAGACGGCTCAGGTCTCCCGTGACCAAGGCAGCATGGTACTCGAGCACTGGGGACCCGGCTCTAGCTTGAAGCTCTTTCTCCATCTTCTGAAAGATGTGAAGCTCTCCCCTAACCGGCTCTGGCCATCTCTCCATTGCCAGGCTGCTGATTTCAGAAGAGTTCTTCAGGAAGGGGAAAGATGGTCCTATGGAGTGTGAGCTATTTCTATTGTCATTACTCAATTGTTATCCAGTTGGGGCTCGGTGGCGGTGTATTTATAACTCCTGCGGGCTCCGCTGTGATCATGGTTACTTGATATGATCAGCATCGTGTGACCACTGGGATGCCAGTGTGCTCAGCCACCGCCTTGTGGTTATATAGATTCAACTCCCAGAGAGCGACACATCCATTTATCTCCAAGACAGCTCTGCACCCAAGGGCGGACACCCTCAAGTGGGCGGGGCTTCTCTCTCCTGCTCTATAGGATGTCTTGTTCCTTTTGACCTATCACTTTCTCTGCTGCTGTGAACAAGGGTGGGTGGATGTGTGCCCCGAGGGCTGTGTCAGCCCTGAGCACGTTTGAAGGAGGCCCAGCTGGACGCTACAAATGACTAGGCTCTAGGCAAGCGTCCCTGCGTGGGAGGCTTCATAGGGCACACCAGAGATTCCCAGAGCATCATCTGGGGTCCCTGGTGGCCTGCGAGTCTCTTCCAGTTGTTCAGGACTGACCCCCTTGCCGCAGATGGGAAATGCCACAGTTTCTGGTTTTTAAATGAATGGTAATAGCTTTTTGTTAGTAGCTTCGTAATTACTCGTTGAAGTTTAGTGAAGGGCTTTATTTTCTCACCTAAAAATTAATGAAATCATTTTTTCTTACAATGTAGGTGAGACGCAGTTCTTACATCTTTTTTTTTTTTCTTACTCTTGTTTTTCTCCTCCTACTAGGAAGTTAGAATGGGCCACTGTCGTTGAGTGGTACCATCCTTCGCCATCACTGTGTGAGTTGTAATAAAACCCTGTGACCAGAGGCTCGAGGGAGGACGGAAGCTCAGGAGGGTGCTGTCCTGATGGGCAAAGAGGAAGCGGTGGGACACATGCCCAGGACAGTTACACACACAGGGGTCCCGAGGGAGGGGTAATAACAGCAGCCACCATCCAGCGGGCCCAGCGTTGGACACACACCCGTGGGGTCGAGTCGCTACGTGGATCCTGAAGCTGTAAACACCACAGAGACAACAGGACTTCTTTCGTACTGTTTTCCGCAGTGGTTGTACCAATTAGCCTTCCTACCAACAGCACGCAAGGTTTGCTTTTTCTTCACATCCTCGCCAACACTTGTTTCTTGTGTTTTTGATTTTCGCCATTCTGACAAGTGTGAAGTGACATCTCTTTGCGGTTTTTTTTTTTGTTTGTTTGCGTTTCCCAAATGATTAGCGGATGTTGAGCATTTTTTCATACGTTTGTTGGCCATCTGAATGTCTTCTTTGAGAAAATGTCTACCCAGGTCCTCTGCTCACTTTTAATTGGATTGTTATTACTGTTTACTTGGTGTGGAGTTATCTAAGTTCTTCATATATTTTAGATATTAACCCCTTATTGGATGTGTCATTTGCAAATACCTTCTTCCATTCAGCATGTTGCCCTTTTGTTTGTTGATGCTTTCTTTTGCTCAGCAGAAGATTTTTATTTTGGTGTAATCCCAGTAGTTTAATTTTGCTTTTGTTTCCCTTGCCAAAGGACACATATCTAGAAAAATGTTGCTATGATTGATATCAAAGAAATTACTGCCTATGTCTTCTTCTAGGAATTTTATGGTTTCAGGTCTCACATTTAGGTCTTTAATTCATTTTGAGTTTATTTTTGTGTTTTGTATAAGAAAGTGGTGCAGTTTCATTGTTTTGCATGTAGCTGCCCAGTTTTCCCAATACCATTTGTTAGAGACTGTCTTTTTCTCATTGGATGTTTTTGCCTCCTTTGTGGAAGATTAATACTCCGTATAAGCATGGGTTTATTTCTGGACTCTGTATTCAGTTCCATCGATCTATGTGTCTGTTTTTGTGTCAGTACCATACTGCTTTGATTACTACAGTTTTCTAGTATATCTTGAAATCTGGAAGTATGATATCTCCACTCTAGCTTTGTTCTGTTTCTTTTTTTTTTAATTTAATTTAATTAAAAGTTTTTTTTTTAATGTTTATTTATTTTTGACAGAGAGAGAGACAGAGCATGAGCGGGGCAGGGACAGAGAGAGAGGGAGACACAGAATCCGAAGCAGGCTCCAGGCTCTGAGCTATCAGCACAAAGCCCGACACGGGGCTCAAACTCACAGACTGTGAGATCATGACCTGAGCCAAAGTCGGCTGCTCAACCAACTGAGCCACCCATGCACCCCGCCTTGTCCTTTTTCAAGACTTGCTTGGCTATTTAGGGTTTGTGTGTGTGTGTGTGTTTGTGTGTGTGTGTGTGATTCTCTGTACATTTTAGGATTATTTGTTCTAGTTCTGTAAAAAAAATGTTGTTGGTATAGGGATTGCATTAAATCTGTAGACCGCTTTGGGTGGTGTGGACATTTCAGCTGCATTGGTTCTTCCAGTCCATGAGAATGGATCTGTGAGGGCTCCTTAAAACCTCATTTCACATGTTTTAAAGTTTACTTCCCTTGTATCCCGCAGCAACAGCAGCAAAGACAGAATCAATGTCATCAGTGGAGCAGCAGCGATTTTTTTCAAGGGTCCCTCTGTGCCTAAAACTCTGCTGGGTGCTATAGACAGTGCAGTGGTAAGGAATATATAGACCATGTTTGCAAGGAATGGAGAGCTTCCATTGGACACAAGAGGCACGTGCATGCAGAAAATGATGAAAGGTGACACTACGTGACCATTTCCCTTGTCAACTACACACTGGAATAAAGCCAATCACTCTCCCCACTTCATCTACCTACCATGACGTTACTCTGTCAGTTTCAGTAGCAATATTAATTCTTCAGATTTTTCATTTCTCTAAGCTTAGTCATGTTGCCATGTTATTTTTCTCAGACTGATTGTGATTAGTTCATTTCTAAAGGACTTATTCACATACAACTATAATATGACCCAACTTGTACTTCACTTTAAACTGAAGAATTCCTTTGTTCCTGATATATTTTGTCATGGGTTATTTTTAAAGGGATGGGAAAACTGGAGGTGAGTGCAGGGATAAGAGCCATTCTGGCCCGTATCCTATGCTAAATTTAGCTTTCCATGCGTTATATTTGTCAACAGTGCCCTAAATATCCAAGCTTGATTTCAGTGGCTAGGGAGCAGTAGTCCAGAAACAGACGTGGTTCTTTATGAGAGCTTCAAAAATAGCTCATGGGAGACAGCATTGGTTTTACAAGTAGGACATGTAGATTGTTTCAGGAGAATTCCAGAGGTGCCTTAAAAAAACAATAGCCATCTGTGTGATTATTACATTGAAAAACAAAATAGGACAAAGTAAGAAGCAAAAGACCCCACTGATACCTGTAAACAAATTCATTCGTTCATCTATTCATTCAATAAACATTTGTGGAATATTATGCTCTACGGCGTGTCGTTCAGTTTTGGGGATACAGAGACAAAAAATACAATAACCCTGCCCCCGAGAACCACACAGGAAAAAGCAGTGACCACAAGACCCCAACCCACAGGAGTGCTTTAGTCTCTCCTTCCCACTAGCTGAACAATGTCCTTTAGTTACAGGTGAACAGCACTTTTCCTGACCCAACGTTTGGCTCCTTCTTGCTCACTGTAGTTCTGTCCATCCATACCTTGCTTGGGTCAGGCCATTTTGATTTCATTTTCGTTGTCTTCGCCCTACTCAGCTTAATCAAGCATGGGCTTGCAAAGATGCCACTCAAACCTTACCTCCTCTGCCTGTTTCAGTCCAGATGAAAAACTCAGCTTCTTCTAAGAATGACTTTGTGTATGATGTTGCTGAGCAAGTATCGAAATCCTGGAGGAATTGTGGTACAACAGAAGGACCAGAAAGACCAGAGTTTTAGTTTTCAAATAAGTAAAGGATTTGATTTTCCAAAGTCTGAATTGACATCAGTGTTGGGCAAGATCTTTAAAGATGAAAAAGACGGTTTGGGTACATTTAGAAAAGGGAGTGGGGGTACTTGGAACTCTGTGGGTCACTAGGAACAAGTCAGGTTGGATAAAATCATTTTCCTTGGTGACACGGTTATTTCATTAATATGTAGAGGGCACATCGGCATGGGTCATGTTTCAACCTGCCGTGGAAGGTTTCCTGAAAACCTTTTAGAGGAGGTGGACAAAATGTGGGTCTTCTTTTAGGAAAGTCCTGCTAAAAACTCCAGCTGGAGAAGTAATACACTGCCTTCAGAGCAGTGGTTCCAGTCTTGACTGTAAAATGGAACCACCTGGAAAGCATTAAAAAGATGTGGATGCCTGGATCCCTTCCTGAGAGACTCTGGTGTCAGGGGTTGGGGGGTGCAGCCTGGAAATCAGGTCTGTCTGTTAGACCTGCCCACCCTCACCCCACAGGTGCTTCCAATGTGCAGCCAAGGTTTTCAGTCTGATCCTGTACAATACATGCTTATGGATGATTTGGGTGAACATTCAGGAGGGTGGATTTCATAGTGTTGGGTGACATGCAGCCTGATGTAATCACAATTCCAAAAGATCTCAACAGGCCAGAGCAATGGGCCTGATTCAATCGGTGCCGCACGGCAACATTAAAACCCCAGGCACATAGGATCCTGTTGTCCTTGTGGGTCAAGTGGCTGAGACTGCCGCACACCCTTGGGGGTTCCTGTTTGTGGCACTAGAGGGTGCTTTTTCTTGTTTTTAAGGCCAGAGGTTAGTGGTGCTGTTGTCGATGTTTGTACCCAAATTTAGGCAACATAAATGCAGCAAATATTTGACATTATTTTAAACCATTCAGAGCCTCTCAGTGCAGAGTACCTTGTGTTGGTCAGGTGTCAGGTCAAATTTCCTTCTTCCTTGAGACCGTGGGCTTTGTAGGACCTGGACTCCTCCCCTGGAACCCTGGGGGGTGGGAACCTGTGCTTTCTTGACCTCTCTGTTTGCTCAGACTGTATATGGTCTGTCCTGCCCCCATA